AGAAATCGTGCAAGGAGCCAAAAGCTGTGCAAAGTCCGAGCTGACCGGGCCCACCTGTCGGACACTTGGGGGGTTGATTCTGGGCTTTTTGAAGTAACCAGGGAGAAAAAGTATAGACGTCTATTTCATAATGGCTCCTTTAAGGAACAGGTGCCAAAACAAGAGTTCAAGTATGGTACTCCAAACCCAAGTTATGGGTTTTGGAGTAAGGGGTTCCTTGAAGGAATCCCGTAGACGAATCCTTGAAGGAACCCTTAACGTAACCCTGAAATGAACCCATAAGGGCTCCTTTAACTAGGGTTCGTGCAAGGGTTCAGTTCCTATCGTCTGGGTTTTGCATTTCGGGGTCTCGGGATTTAGGGTTTTAGAGTTTCGGGCTTACTGTGACTCTCCGGGTTTGCCTGTGGATCCAATAAAAACAGCTAAAGCCTACTGTTGCCGGGGTTGTACACTGGCTTCTGAATTGGGGGGGGGTCCAAAGCTGCAATTCTGAAGGGGTCGGGGCTGGGTAGACAGCTTTCCTTAAACATCTCTGTCATAAAACTCCGGACCCTCAAACGGGCTCGGAAGCCCTTACGGGTTGTACGGCCGTCGAGTGGGTGAGCGTCCTCGCGGTTCGCGCTCGTCGCGAGGGGGCGTCCGGCGGACCTCACGCGGTGGAGGCTTGGCCCTTCGCAGCACCTCGTCCGGGTGGAGCTTGGCGTCCCGGCCCTCGTAGTCGTACCACGTGTCGTAGAACGGCCGGTACTCTCCGCTCTTTGCGGAGGCAGCGGGGAGGAGTTCTTCGTCCTCCGCCGCGGGGGACCTCCTCTCTAAGGTTCGGAATCGTTGGGCTTTCGAGATCAAACCCACAGCCCTAAACTTCAAACCCCACAACAACACCCGTTACAAGCACCACCTTCTAAGAACCCTACTCTAGGTTACCAGGTTATCCTTCTTCCTGTTATTCGGTTTCAATACGAGGACCCGACAAAAAAGGGCAAACGGCTACTACCCAGGAACCTAGTTCTAGAGGAACCGAGTTTGAGTTGGTGGCCCTGCACCCGAATCTGCAGGGCTCTCTGCCCTGAACCTGAGCCCTAAACCCTCAGGATTTACCTATACACTCTCCATTGTACTTCCTTTTTGGGGTTAGTCTTTAGGGCTAATTAGGGTCCAAAATATATAGCTGGTTAATTCTACCAAAAGTTCGTTTAAGGCTTCAGGGTTCAGGGTTTGGGTTTTTCTTCTTGGTGTAAGGCTTTTGGTTTTGTCTTTTCAGCCTTTAGGGCTCTGATCTCAGCAACATATCAGGGTCTCTCGACCCCCAGCGGTCAGTCGTTTAAAGCCTTGGGGTGAACCCGACCCAAAAGTTTCGGCCACAAAAATAGCCCAACACATCTTGGAAAGCTGTACTAAACTCGCCCATCAACCCTGTTAGAACAACCAGAATTCCCACCAAACTCTACGAGCACCAAGAACGCATAAAATCTTAAACCACGCTTCCAACAACCCCACAAAACCTAAATTGCTCGTGAACAGACAAGAACTCTGTTGCCTGACCGAGCTCGGCAGCCCTGACCGCCAGACGCTCGTAGCGTCGCGGCACCGGCGCGGCGTCCTCTCGCTGAAGTGAACTGTCTAAGGGCTAAGATGTGGCTGCTTCCGGGTTCGACCCCCGTAATGTCCCCCCACCCTCTCCCCATACCCCATGGCATCACGTGCCAGCCCTGGCGCATGGCACATTCCCACTCCGATACCGCTTCCGTTGCCAGCGTTACTTATAAATACAGGTATGCATATATGTATGTTATATATGGAGTGTTCTATAAGGATTATAGACGCATGCTCGAGTAGAGATAATGGCTTCGATTAAATTGGGTTTTGGAGGCTTCGGGGCTTACGAGCTTCGAGTGCAAATGTCTAAGAGAGTTTAGGTTTTTGGGGGTTTAAGATATTTAAGGGGTTCCGGTTGCACAAGAGTTAAGGGTTCTGGGCTTCAGGTCAGGGCGTCAGAAACATACGTCTATATGTCTTGCAGCCCTGAATAGTGGATATGATGGGGACTGCAACAGCTAATAGCATCGGGCTGCACTCTCATAATTCTATACAGGGGCGGTGAGTGTGGGTGGTTGTCAAAATTAGTATCCCTACTTGGGTACCCTAAATACTAGGTGCCGTATTGTAATAGGGACCCCATGTTTCACGTGCACCAATGAGTGCTTCATGCAAACGATCGACTGATGCCCGTTAATAGGGACCCCAAAAAGGGACACTAATTTTGACAACCACCCAGGTGCTTACGGATTCAGGCCTCGATATTGGTGCCGGGGTCCGGCTGTTCTCAGGTTGGTTCTGGCCTCTTTGTCTATGCCTCGAGTTTCGGTTTAGGGTTTAGGGTTTAGGGTTCAGGGGTTTAGGGTTTAGGGGTTTAGGGTTTAGGGGTTTAGGGTTAAGGGTTTAGGGGTTTCGTTGAGGGTTGAGGGTTTAGGGGTTTAGGGGTTGAGGGCTTAGGGGTTGCGGATTTAGGGGCGCAAGGTGCCAATTTTCTCAAAGCTGGGTCGCGATTGGCATGCGATGGCCTTCGGCGGTTTTAGCGCTGGAAAGGCCAGGTACCCTATAGTAACTTCCCTGTAACATATGGATACCCCTTTTTGCGATTAGTATATATCCGAGAATAGGGTTTTGGGGCCCACTATACTATACTCATAATAAGGAACTCCCACAATAGTGTAGGTAATCATTGAGGCCCCTATATTATTGGACGGCATCCTGAGCATCCCACGGCATATCAAAAAGCTGTCTCTGGAATGCAGGCTCAGCTTAAAACTAAACTGGCACATGTGGGGGTTTCCGAAAACAGGGGACCCTAATATAGTACCCCAAATAGTATTACCCTTATTATAAGGACCCCTAAATAAGGTACCCCTATTTTCGGAAACTCCCATGTCAAGGCCGAACATGGAAATCTAAGCGCCCAAAGTTCGGCCCACTATAGGGCACACATATGGCTTGTTTCGACCGCACTTCAACAGTGTCCCGTCCCAATTGGGCCCGAAGTGATTAGGCACGCTGTGGACGTAAACCACACCAAAGCATGCCGATCCTCTAGGAGCTTGCTGGTTAGAACTCTACAAGCCCCAAACCCTATAAACCCTTATTGTCCAAGTCCTCTCAATTTGGACAGCTGAGGTCCTTTAAGGCACGCCATCGCAGGAGCAGCAAGAGCCAGGCAGCTGATGTTGAGTCATTCTCACCTGAGCCAGCGTGGTGGGTCGGTGGGCCTCCCATAACCGGTTTGTTTTAGGGTTTAGGGTTTAAGGATTGGGGTTTAGGGTTTAGGGTTTAGGGCTTAGGGCTTGGGGTTTAGGGTTTTGGGGCTTGCAAAATGGGATCACGAACTTTGTGGTGTAGTGCTTCAACTCCGCTTCGAATCAGCCCACAAGTGACATCCACGATTCTCTCTGGAACCTTACAAGTGGACTCATGGGCCCCGACTTAGCGATCAGGCAACTTCGTGGGTCTGGTTATATATAAGTGTATCGTTAACTTTGTAGCTACCCAGAGGGTCTAATTGCCTGAATCTGAATCTGGTAACCTATGTTCGTTCTGCTCTATATCCCACATGTACGTACATCCAGTAATGTTATAATGCTTGTGCATGCCCTGGGCCCTGGGCTTGCGAATACGCCATGATCAACGGCAGCCTATCTGAAGAGCAAAGCTGAGCGCCTAAAAACACACAGTCTTAAGTGCCCTTAGGGCCATAATAAACATAATGGTTTGATCAATCCCTTGGATTTTCGTTAAAAAAAACATGAGTCCTTGAACACTATTCGTGCTCTGAGGAATCATGTGGGAGTTTCCGAAAAGATGGGGCCCTAATCTAGTACCCTAGTTTGTAGGATCCGTATTACAAGGACCCCCCAAAAAGGTACCCTAATTTTCGGAAACTCTTAACCCTAAACCCTTTACGGCTCCCTTTAAAGGAACCCTTATGGTAACCCTTCAAAGGAACCCTAAGGTAACCCCCTAATTTTCGGAAACTCCCATGCTGTTATTCTAACGAAACATCGACCGGAAGCCTGACATCAAAACCTCGGGCACAGATCTGCCAGGGGGCTCTGCAACGTGAGGCCAAGCGCCTTTCAGGAACATTCTATGGATTTCGGGTTTACAGGTATGATTTTGCTAAAAAAGGTATTTGAAACATTGTTTGCAAGAAATGTTACAGGTTTACAGGTTTGGAGGTCTTTCGGGAGTTTGTTTAGGGTTTAGGGTTGGTTCTGGAGTTCGGTTTGGGTTTTATGTATGAGAGTATGAGGGCTTTTGAAGTAGGTGTCTGAGGCATTTTAGTGAGGGTTGTAAGGGTTAGGGAGTACGGTGTCTTTTTGGCCTGAGGGTCAGAGGTTGCTATTCTTATCCTACACAGAAGACACTGAGGATTGGACAGTGACCTCGTTCAACTCGTCTAGAACCTTATGATCCAGTAGAACACCCTAGATCAGGGAGTTCCAGAATTACAGGGTTTCGGAGTTTCGATGAATTGTTAGCTGAGTTGGTGTTCTGGTTTAGATTATCATTCGTTTATGTGGTTATCATCGTCATTGTTACCACCACCCATTGTTACCACCACCACCAGCACCACCACCGCCACCACCGCCGCCACTGCCCCAGCCCCAGCCCCAGACCCTGCCACTGCCACTGCTACTGCTGCGACTGCTGCGACTGCTGCTACTACGGCTACTACTGCGACTGCTGCTGCTACTACTGCTACTGCTATGTTATTATTATGTTATTAATGAAGTATGGTTTCAGGAGAGACTGCTCCGGCCAAGCTGGTCTGACAGGCTGCCAGCTTTCCAAAGGGGAGCACTACGTGCGCAGTTACCTAAATTAGGCTCCCGGTTGCTAGATCCCCCCAAAATAAACAGTACGGCACACATATAATTCAATCAAGGACCCTAAAGCCCCAAAAGGGACCGTAAAAGAGATAACCACCCAGATGCTCGCGAGCGGGTCTATTGGAGCAGAGCCCTCGTCTTGTTGTGGCTACCACTCGTGACCCACTGATCAAGCTCAAACGCAATCTCCTTCACCTGGGTCAGAAAGAGGAGAAGCCCAGCAACGATCATAATGCAGGATATACCGACCTCCCAGGTGATGGGCTTCGGCGTGATATCGCCTCTCAAAAGGATAGATGCAGGAATGACATAAACCATCAAGGACCCGAATAAGGCTCCTTTGACTGCCAGTATGTCTGCGAGGGGCAGGAACCATCCTAGGAGGCCCAGTAACCTAGGAATAAAAAGGGCTCCCTTCTTGGTATTGGGCAGCTTTATAAGGCACCTAGGACTACAAAAAGGGTAATAACGGAACTACTGGGCATCCGAGCATCCTAAGGAGGCGATGATCAACAGTAGCAGCTCGAACTGATCGGTAAGTTGCCGATTCAGACAACGGCGGCAAAGACTTCCACAAAGCTGGCGCATGCCAATGATTACCTTTGGAAAGTCGGCCCAAAGAATGAGCAGGTAGAACCCGTGAGTAAGTGGCGCCTTCCAAGATCCCGAAAGATTGTTGAGGAGGTCCTGCTGAGTGTCTGAGCCGTACATCTGGTAACCCATTGTGCCACACCAGAGATACGCCAACGATACGACAATGTAGGACAGGCATACAGCAAGTCGGAAATTCCGGAGCTGATTACCGGGACCCAGCTCACTGTAGTACTTCGGCGCGTTGTAGTGCGCCGTGAAGGATACGAGCAAGATGGACCAGACCTTGAAATAAACTTGCAAGGTGCTTTGTTCCGCGGAAGCCGAATCAGTAGGACGTGCTGCAAGCCTTGTTATGAGATTGGTGGCGCTCTCCTGCTGTTGCTTGTTCGGGTCGTTCGGTTCTAGGGCGAGGAGGACGGAGAGGATGCCCACGAGCACCGCCAGCATGGAGAGTATGCCGAGAGGCATGAGGTGCCTCGGACGCCTACTTCTTACTCCGCAGCACCGCCTAAAGTCCCTATACCCCCCTTAGAACCATAACAAAAATTACATGTTAATATTCTCTTGGGTTTTCATATGAACAAAAATAAAAAAATATTCCTAAGGAGACTATAGTAAAATGGCGTGTATAGACCCGACAGCCTAGAATCTAGACCCAATTTGATTGCCGAGGCAGAGTTGGCACGACAAGGGCAGGTACAAGAAAATGGTTGCAAGCAATCCCCAGCGCCAGCTCGAGCGCCAGCCGTAAGCCATTGCAAGGCAATCTGCTGGATGTTCTTTTGATTTCGCAGGGTTGTGTGGGTCTGGCAGTGCGAACCAGAGCACGAAGACAAGCGCCACCAGAATCCAGAAGAATACCCCAAATAGCCCAAGCTCGGCACGGAAGAGTGTGTTGTTATAACGATAAACGACGAGCAGGATGAGTGCTGCTGCTATGGCTACGTATGTCCCAGACTCCTCTATCCACTCTATCATCCAGTGATCAAGCAACGACCGAGCCTGAGCTTTGAGCCGGCAAGCTATCCCATCTTCCCCGAGTAAGCTGTCGTGGGTTAACTTGACGTAGGACATGCACGTGAACATAGGGTACAAGAGATAGACCACACCAGCAATCACATCCCATGGCTTTCCGATTGTTTGACTCATAACCCCCAAGTACGTGGCATCTCCTCTCTGCAGGCCGACATCTCGAACATGCTCACATGCGCGGCCATGTAACCAAAACGAGACACCGTGCATAAGACCAACGAGCACTAGCAAAATGACAAAAACCACGACAGGGTAGTCAGTGGAGGTCCCGTCTTTCAGCTCTTTCAAGCACCATGGAAGAGCCAGGAATCCAGCACCCACGATTTTGTTCACCAGGTTGCAGATAGTCCAGAATATGGGATATCGTAAGGGCGACTGTAGCGGAGGCTGGACCAGCAAAGCCTGCTGCATGAGATCCAAAGCACGACAGAGCGGCGGACAGCCGAAGCCTAGTACAAGCGCCTTAAGAAGTAGCGTAGGGCTCACATTGGACTGTATCACTGTAAGTCTGCAGGAATGGCTGCGGAGTCAACTAGCTTTAAGCACCCAAACTCTTGACCTAGTTGTCCAGTACCCTAGGGGAACTGAAGGCTACCGTTTAGGATTATATATACATATACATATATATATATATATATATATTTTTTTTTATTTATAGGGCTCATAGTACCCCCCCCAAAAAAAAGCGAAAGGTTTCTCATCCTGCTACTAGGTTGACATCAATGTAACGACTTGATTAAAGAAGGGCCGGGGGAGACTTCTGAGCGTGGTTCAGGATTCAATGTCCCGACGGGTTCGGGTGCCTTTCTCCAGTACATCAAACTTGCGTTTGATTTCAGATCTACCCCAAGCTCTGAGTCCTAGAACTGTTTCCCCTGAACCCAAAACGCCGTAGGGCTCACGCGATCTAGGGCTGAGCTTTTGGGGCATCGGACTTCATTCTGCTACATTCTCAAGTAATTAACTATGTGTATACTAGTGGTACATGCCGACAGGCTGATACGGACACCGCATCCTAAACACTTAGCTTGCAAAACGTACACCCTAAACCTCAAGATCTAACCCACCAAATCCCCAAACATAAAGCCTGAACCCTAAGAAAGTGCCACACTTGCATGATTGGAACCCGCTAGATCGAGCAAAGGTTGAAGGTACTCTACTCGATCCCGTGACCATCGGCTTTCGGGAATCCAGCACACCGGAACACTTAAACGTTATGCTTTCCGCACCGCCCTCTAAACAGGCCCGTATATGACGAAGAATGTTATCGCAGTTAAGGCAAGGTTCATCTGATTTCCGGAGTTTATGCAACTTTTGGCTTGTGTGGTCGCATGAGCAAAGGTGAACATCAGCTGCATCCAACTAGGGTTCAGGGGTTGGGGTTCATGGCTTCCCGGACCTTAATAGCGGTTTCCTGCTTCGGGTTGGTGCTCTTGCAAGTATGATGAATTCTACCTGAGTGTTTATGCGTCTTTAGCTCTAAAAACTAGACCCTATTCTAAACCCTGACCACATCCTACGTACACTTGATCTTGTGGTGCAGGGAATCTGCAATTCGCGAATGGATGTTGCTTTGCTTTGCTCCACGTTGGGGGGAGGCTAGCATAAACATACTTTGCCTTTATGGAAAGGGCTCCTCATGGAATTGACTTGGAATCAGGTATATGTCCCGAGCAAGCCCCTTCGAAATCGAAATGAATCCACAGCTTTCTCAAAGTCCCTGGGCGGCCTCAAAGGTTGCATGAACTTTTGTACCGTCGCTCCGCGGCATAGGGCACCACCTCTGCTGGGCTGTTGTGGCGGTCTCGGCAAAGCAATCTGGACTCCGGTGTCGGGATAGGATTTACGTTCACCTGCTTCTTTAGTCAAAAGATCGAAAACAAGTTTATGGGACGGCCGAAAATTCCTGGATGCCTTACTACTGTAAGCCCTATACCCTAAACGCACAGCCCTAAACGCATCAACTAAGCCAGAACCGCTTCAAAAAAAACCTCCGATCCTACATTCCTTTCCCCTACAACTAGATCAGGATGATGGCATAGGACGTTGAAGATCATACTGCTTTGTTCACGAGCTCCTGATAGATGATTTCTTATCCAACTCCCGGAGGAGCGGGAGAGTTTAAGGGGTTCGAGGCTTCGTCTGGGGGTCGTTGGGTTGTTCCTTAAGGGCATAGGTTTAGGGCTTAGGGTTTGAGTGCTCAAGATATGGGGTTCGAAGGCCTTGCATTTCGGAATTTAAGCTGCAGAACAGGATCGAAGATTATGATCCGTCTTACTCGGACTTCTTGGGAATGTGGGGATTCGGCGTAATGAGGGCTTGGGGTTTGCGGTTTTGTGAGTTTCGGCGGTGGGTGTGCTGCATTTCGGCATTCCAGAGACTCCAACAATATCCCTCAATTGAGGAATATACCTCAAGTCATATCAGGGACCCTACTATAATTTAAGGTATTTTCCGTAGGAAAGGGATATTGGAGTGTCTGGGCTAGAGGGTTTGAGCTGAACTGCTTTTTGGGGCTCAGGGCCAAAATCATATAACTTCAAAGGCACCATATATTGAATCTCAGAAAGTTGAAACACGGGTTGAGGATGGTTAGCCCTGGGATCCACTGTGCTGTACCATAAGGGCACTAGACCCAAAACCCTAAACCTGCCCTAAAGCCTTAACCCTAAACCTGCCCTAAACCCCTTTGAAGGCACATAAGGCGATATGATTACAATCTTGTTCAGAACTGGGATTCTAGGGCTTTTCCCGTTTCGGGGGCGAGGCTTCCCGCCTGCATCCCCAGCCAGTGTCGGTGAGCTGCCGCTTCAGCTGCGTCCCTCGCTCCTGATGGATGGGAACTCGGCAGCAGTGAAGGTTTCTCGGGTTTGGGGCTTAGGGTTTAGGGTTTAGGGTTTAGGGTCCATGTACCCATATAGAGATACATAGGCCCCAAAGTACCTATATAGGGGTCCACTACATTAAGGCCAATGAATAAACGATATGAGTACATGGACCCTGAGGGGAAGGTTTACCGGGTTTGGGGCTTAGGGTGTTTGGTGGGTTCAGTGCTTTTAGGGTTCGCGCGTTAGGATTTTGGTGGGTTTCGGGCCAGGGCGAGGATTGAGAAAATACGCTGGCGATGCGCACGCTTGACCTTGCCGTACATGGTACTTGTAACGGCATTCAGAGCAAAACAGGTCTTAGACCTTCTAGATAAACGCTTTGGGTGTAAGCTCCTCCTTTAGATCAGAGTATGCTCCCCAAGAACCTTTGTCTAAGAGAAATCTCAACATGCTACTCAGCACAATCCTGAACTCGCAACACTTGTTGACACTATTTCACAGCCTTAGATACCCTATCGAGGTCCCGTCACAACATTTAAGAAGGCGCTGCTTAAACTTTAGAGCGAATGTGAATTGCTAGCTCTCTCTCTCTCTCTCTCTCTCTCTCTAATCGGAGTGGTCGGCATAGCGACACAGATACGTCCCTTATAAAGCAGCAGAAGCCCAGCGCTACACACAAGCGCCGAGGCTTCGGGACTAAAAGGATCTGGCAGCAAGGACATTCCTAGAGTTCAAATCTCCGGATACTGCTCTGCGTCATCATCCTGCAAGCCCGTGAGTGCTCAAACCTCTACATCCCTGCGCCCTAGTTCCTTACTACCCCAATAAGCCACAGAAAGAGAAGGTTAAACTTTCCGATTCCTACTCAACTACACGAAGCCAAAAAGTTTGAAGGTTGGGTATTGGGGATCGAAGGTTCCCTGCACCTGCAACCCCTGAAATTCGAATTAAACCTCGGCTGAAAGTGCCTCTTTCGTCAAGAACGGCAGCAAGACTTCGTAAAGCAGCGCCGGATGAGGATCGGGACCTCCAGAGCTCTATAAGGGTCCGGGGTACTGTTGGATACTTCCTGAGACCATGATAAGAATTCCGAATATAGAAACCCTACATTCTACTAAATCGGCACTTTGGACCCTTCGGGGTACAGTCTCCATCGTGGTTCATTCTGTTGGCTTAGCCAGTTATACCTTTTTTGGGGATCCTAAAAGATAACCCTAAACGCAACGACAATGGATCGAGAGTAAAGGAGGAGTCCCAGTAGAGCTTGGCGTTGTCCCTTGCCAGAGTTCGGCCCTGGACCTTGAGGAACCTCCCTGTTTTAGGGTTCCCTGCTATGATTTCTTTTATAGCAGTCCTGAAAAGGTAGGTTATTTGGGGTGAAGGTGGACCCTAAGCCCTAAGTTCCCTTTCTGCGGCAAGCTCAGTTTAGTGGCTTAGGATCATTTAGCAGACTTCGGGGAAAGGGTCGGGGCGTCATAGGGGTGGGGTTGGAGGATGAAGGGTATCAGGGGTTCAGGGCTTGGCCTTTTCGGTTCAGCTTTCTGGCTTTCATGCTATAGAGTCGATGTCGATGCAGCGCCAGGAATCTGTACAAGAGAACGGCAAAAACATGCAGAGCCGAAGAAGGACTGCTTTTGACGGATTTAAGTGTAGGATTGAAGCTTTAGGATTCGGGTGTAGGGTTCAAGGGGATGAGATTGTACAGAGTTTCAGGCTTTAGGGTTTTGAAGGTGGCTTAGGGCGACGAAGCTTGTCCAGACTAGCCCTCAACAAGGAATACTTCGTGGGTCACTTCCCTTCAAAATCCCGGTGGCACTGTGGCGATTCAGGGTCTCCCGGAATTGTCTCCATTGCAGTTCCTGTTTCGGTTTGACCAGTACAGTAACGCAGGATCCTACAAAGTAACCTGAGAAAGGAAGTACGATGAAGACTAAAAGTAGGGCACAGGGATGTTCCGTGTCATGGGTTTGAAGCCAGGCTCTGTTATCAAGCTGCTTTGCCTTACGCGTTTCTGGTTCAGGTTTGGGGATTAGTAAATACGGATTCAATGCAAGATCAAACACGTTCAGTTCTTCCAGGTTGTCCCAAACAGTCGCTACCTGGGCAGTGGATCCTAACGCGGAATTTCGGATGTAAACCCACGGCAGCTTCAACGAAAACCTAAACATCTTCCATGCCAAGCCGTGAGCAGTGAGCTCCCAGACCTTGGGCCCTAGAGCCTTCGAATCAGAACATGCATCCAGCACTAAACAGAAGATGCAATCAGAAAGTCTAGACTCAAAGCCCTGGCAACAGCTTTATTGCCAAAGCCTTTCTATAGTAGGAATTACCACTATATGGTTTGGGAAAGTAGTATTCCCATATAGGTACTTGGGACCATTTGGGTTAGGGCCTATGATCTGACTGAGATCTAAACCCAAACTGTGTGTGTGTGTGTGTCTGTGTGTCTGTGTGTTTCGTGCGTTTTGAGTTTAAGGTTTAGGGCTTGGGGCTAGAGTCTAAGGTTTGGGGTTAGGGTTTGGTGTTAGGGTTTAGGGTCTGTGGTCTATCCTAAGGGTCCTAACACTGTGGGGAACCTCAAAA